GATTTTGTTGATTCTTTCAAAGAACCAACTTTTGGTTTTGTTGATTCTTTCGATTGTTTTTCTGTTCTCTATTTCATTTATTTCTGCTCTGATCTTTACTATTTCCTTTCTTCCGGTGGTTCAGGTTTGGGGTTTTTTGGTTTACATATAGATTTGGGCAAATTCTTCTGGCCATCTACAAAAGATTCTTGGCCTGACAGGAAGTGAAGGGACCTTACTTATTCACCTGTAAAGCTGACCCTGCAAGACAGGTACCAGGTCACTTTTCCTGCAAGGACTTTGTAAGCATTGACTCCCAAAAGTCAGTATTGTTGTTAGTTGCTCTTGAGTTGGCTCCGACTCATGGCAGCCCTGTGTATGACAGAATGAAACGTTGCCAGGTCCTCTGCCATCTTCACGATGGTTGGTATGCCCAAATCCATTGTTGCAGCCACTGTGTATTTTGAGTACCTTCCAACCTATGGGGCTCACCTTCCAGCACGGTATCAGAAAATGTTCTGTTGTAATTCATTGGATTTTCATCAGCAGCCCGCCAGGCCTTTTTTCCTAATCTGTCTTAGCCTGGAAGCTCCACTGAAACCTGTCCACCATAGGTGACCCTGCTGGTATTTGAAATATTAGTGGCACTACACTATGACAGATTGACAGATGGGCAGTGGAAAATCAAAGTAGCTTCTTAAAAGTGGCTGGTCAAATCGTATATGTACATACTGCCCCCTCCAGGGGATGGAGCTTAATTCGGCCCACCACTACCACCTTGAGGGTGGACTAGACTTAGTGACTGGGTTCCAAAGAATAAAGTAGGGAAAGGAAACAGCAATAACTTGACCATGGAGATGTCTGGCAGATAACACCTTAACCAGGTGATCAAGGTTGACGTCACTCATGATAAGTCATATGGATGCCAGGTGACCCCTGATAAGATGGAATAAGGACCCTCATTCCTGTGAGATTCTTCTCCAAACCCCATAACCCCAGTCTAATCATGAGAAAACATCAGACAAACCCAAATGGAGGGACTTTCTACAAAATACCTGTCCAAAACTCTACAAAAGTGCCAAGGTCATGAAAAACAAGGAAAGACTGAGAAACTGTCAGAGACCAGAGGAAACTAAGGAGATGGGATGACTAAATGCAATGTGGGATCCTGGCCAAGTTAACATCTTAAATAATAACTGAAATTACAACTGATAACACTGTTTTGTGGTTGCTTAACATCAGGCAAAGCACCACAAGAACTCTCACAAATAGGAACACTGATGAATCTACCTTTTGATTAACTCAAGTGAACTGACTAGGGACATTAATTACATATGCACAACCCTTCTGGCATATGATGGAGCATCATATGTACACCCCAAAGAACCAACAGATCAGGGATATTGAAATGAATGTGCAAATCAAGGCAAAAAGATTGGGGGTATGTCCCTCCATGGGGCAAAATCCGTTTGCATATCTATGGGCAAGAATTATTTTTTAGTGTTACCAGTTATTTATAACTACAGAGTTTGTAAAATATCTCCCATAGAATCAGAATCAGATAACCCTGAAAGGGGCCGTCTAATATAGGGAACCAAAACCAAACCAAACCCGTTGCCGTGGTAGTGACCCTACAGAACAGAGTAGGGCTGCCCCCATAGGGTTTTCAAGGCTGTACTCTTTACAAGGCAGACTGCCACATCTTTATCCTGAAGAGCAGCTGGTGGGTTTTAATTGTCAACCTTTCGGTTAGCAGCTGAGCACTTAACCACTGTGCTACCTGGGCTCCTACACAGGGAACCAAAAAGAAAAAGAAAAAAGCCAAACCCACTGCCATCGAGTTGATTACGGTTCATAGCCACCCTATAGGACAGAGTAGAACTGCCCCATAGGGTTTCCAAGGCTGTAAATCTTTATGGAAGTGGACAGCCACATCTCCCTCCCCAGGATTGACTGGTGGGTTCAACCTGCCGATCTTTTTGGTTAGCAGCCGAGCGCTTTAACCACTGCACCACCAGGGCTCCTGATACAGGAACTGCAAGTCTTATTTGTAAAGGGCAAGATAGTAAATAGTCTGCGTAGGCCATACTAACTCTGTAGCAATGAATCATTGTAATGTAAAAGTAGACATGAGGAAACAAATCAGCATGGTTGTATTCCAATAAAGTTTTTATTTATCAACACCTAAATGTGAATTTTATATAGTTTTCACTTGTCACAAAGTATTTTTTTTCACCATCGAAAAATGTAAAAAAATTCTTAACTCACAGAGCACACAAAAACAGGGTGTTGCCTGATTTGACCCGCGGGCTGTAGTTTGCAACTCCTTCCATAATTTTTCATTGAAACATTTTCCTCTATAGGAGTATAGGAGATGAATGAGGATGTAACAGTTCCTGCAGCATCATAGAATTGCTATAAAGTGAGTTAAGACACGTAACAGTACCTAACGTTATAATTATTATTCTGGAACTGAAGTCAGCGTCCCAGCTAAGGTCAGGAGTAAGGTCAATAACAGGACGAGGATACATTCCAGCTGCGCACACATTAGAGCGGCACTTTCCGCTCCCCACCCCCTCCTCCCATGAGTGTTTGCGCGACTGGACTTCCGCCCAAGGAGTTATCACGACCTCAGTTCTCATGTTCTCATGAATTCTGGGAGAATCTGAAGGGCGATTGGCTAGGAGAGCGCAGTAACTGTCTAAGATTAGCCATCGCGACGCGGGAGACAGGATGCTATTTACTACGATTGGCCAGTGTAGTCCTGGGAGGTGAGCCCACGGGTCCCATAGGCTGGCGCTGGAAGGGATGAGGAAACTAGCATGAACACCAGCAATTGGAGGGAGTGGGTGTGGCTCGATGCTTCTTTGTGATTGGTCCATGCGATGCTTCGTACAGCTATTGGCCCTGGAATGGAGTACCGGCCATTTATTGGTCAATACCCTCGGGGCGGGGAAAGTGGAGGGCGGAGACGGCCATCTATTGGTCAGAGTTGTTTGGGGGTGGGGCATGCGGACTGCGAAGGCAGTTTGCGATTGGTGGCTTGACATGGGGCGGGGATTCCGGTGCGGCGGTGGCTCGCGATTGGCCGGCGTGGCGCAGGGCGGGCCTGCTCGCCGGTTCCTGAGTCCCGCGTAGCGATGGCGCCGGGCGGCTGGCGATGGGTTCGCGGCCTGCGGGCTGCTGGGAAGCCGCTGTTTCAGGGCCGAGTGCTACTCGTCACCAACACACTGGGCTGCGGCGCGCTCATGGCGGCCGGGGACGGCGCGCGCCAGTCCTGGGAAGTCCGCGCCAGGCCGGGCCAGAGGTTCGACCTGCGGCGCTCCGGTGAGCAGACCGGCCCTTGACCCCGTGGGACCTTTGACCCCGACCTTAGATTCGGAGAACCCCGCACTGTATCCGCTGGCCGTGACCCCTGACCTTTGATCTCAGTCTCAGGCCGGACCCTTGATCTCGACTTGCATCCTGACCCTGACAGATCTTCCTCAGCCTCCGTCTTTGCCCACCCCAGGGTCTCCCTCCCCTCGCACCCCCGGGATCCTCGTCCTCTCCCACCCCCGGGGTCTCTTCTCCTCTCCGGGGACTCTCTTACCTGCCATTCCCGGGATCTTCTCTCCGAGGCTTCCTCCCTCCCTCCCCCGGGGTCTTCGCCCATCCCCTGGATCCTCCTATCCTTCCCATCCCGAGGTTCCCGCCCACCCCCGGGGTCTCCGCCGCCTCCCATCCTCTTGTCTCCATCCCTGCCCACCCCTGGTCTCAGTCCCCTGCGGTTGAATCCCGCCATTGTGCGGGCCCTGCCCTGGCCGTACACGTTCCAACCCGCTATGGCAGGGTTTCACTCTGAAAAGCAAGGCACTGATAGAAACTCCTCGCAGGGGGTGAGGCGAGGATGAAGCTAGAAGGCGAGGAGCACCCGGAACAGGGCCTGGAGATCGGCCTTGTACAGGAAGAACACACAGCTGGGCTCTCCCTGTTTTGGGCAGAGGGACTGAGGCTTTGGGAGGGTGTCTGGATTGGAGGGTTTGCTGGCCCTGATGCCCAGACTCTTGTCCTCTTCCGCCCTCAGCGAGCATGTTTGCCATGGGCTGCAGCATGGGCCCCTTCCTGCATTACTGGTATCTCTGGCTGGACCGCCTCCTCCCTGCCTCTGGCCTCCGCAGCCTCCCAACCATCCTCAAGAAGGTTCTGGTGGACCAGCTGGTGGCCTCGCCCGTGATAGGTGTCTGGTACTTCTTGGGTAAGAAGCCCTGTGTCTTAGCTATCTAGGGCTTCCACAGCACAAACATCACAAGTGGGGAATTTAAAGAACAGAGATTTATTATCTCACAGTTCAGGAGGAGAAGGCCTTCCTTATGTATTTCAGCTTTTTGTTGCCATCCAGTCCATTCTGACACATGGCAACCCCACACATGTGGAATAGAACTGCTCCATAGGATTTTCAAGGCCGTGACCTCTTTTTTTTTTTTTAAATATACATATATTTGTTGTACTTTAGATGAAGATTTACAGAACAAATAGTTTCTCATTAACCAGTCAGTACCCATATTGTTTTATGACATTGGTTAACAACCCCATGACATGTCAACGTTCTCCCTTCTTGACCTTGGAGGACCCTTTTTTTTTGTGAAAATATACATTTCAAAAGTTTCTACATGTACAATTCAGTGACATGGATTACATTCTTCCAGTTGTGCTGCTATTCTCACTATCCTTTTCCAAATTATTCCCTCACCATTATCTTCAACTCACTGCCCCCAGGCTTCCCTTCAAGGCTGTGACCTTTTGGAAGCAGATCACCGGGCCTTTCGGCTAGTAGTCCAGCATTTAACCATTTGTGCCACTCAGCTTCTAGTAGCTGCCAGCAATCCTTGATGTTCCTGGGCTTGTAGATGCATCTGTCTCAGTCATCTGTCTTCCTCTTCCCCCTGTGTGGTTCTCTGTCTATCTGCTCTTCTTAGAACTCAGAAGTGATTAGGTTTAGGACCTACCTACACTGGTATGCCCTAATTAACAAAAGAAAACTCTATTTCCAAACAGGGTGATATTCACAGGTACAGGGGCCAGGACATCAGTACGTATATTGAATACATACCATACATATATATTGGGAACATAGTTCAGTCAGTAACACCCGTGAGTCTTGGCTTTGCCCCTCACTGGTTGGGAGAAACAGAGCCAGCTTTGTGTGAAGAAGGATGCCAAGATGCACTTCTGATAAGCCTCCTGTGTGTGTAGCCCTGGACTGGGGCTGGTCACAATGGTGACTGAACAGACCTGGTCTGACCTTCAGGGAGCCAGTGATGGTGGATGTGAGTTTAGGGGGGTAAGATGGTGTTGGATGGGGCTGCTCTTGGCGAGGGGGCCAGGAAGCCTTACCAAAGGAGGGGACACTCAGCTGAGACTTGGAAGACCTGGTCAGGCAGGGGGAGCAGCCCGTGCAAAGGCCGTGAGACCTGAAGGCTGGGGTTGACGGGGCACTATGAAGAGGTGGGAGGAGCGAGGGGCAAAAGTGGCTCTAGTGGGGGAGGGGCCTCAACTCTGTAGCCCCAGCCTCCAGGCTGTTGGGTAATTGCTCATTCCCCACCGCCACCCTTCTGCTCCATTTCAGCAGCGGGTCCCACTGCAGGGCCTGTTAATGTCCTGCTCCCACTGCCTGAGACACTCTCCCTGGGGTCCTTTGGGTGTCACTTCCCCCACCCCCCTCCTTCATCACCAACCCTCCCCAGCCTGTGACACTCATTTTCTGGTTTCCTTCCCAGGCCTTGGCTGGCTGGAGGGCCAGACCCTGGATGAGAGCTGCCAGGAGCTTCGGGACAAGTTCTGGGAATTCTATAAGGTGGGGGAGTCCACTGGCCCAGGCCCCACCCCATCCATGCCCCGCCTCTCAGCTATCTGGCCCCGCCCACCCCTTCATTCTCCAATCTTCACAGCCCCATCTGGCTCCACCCGCAAGCTGCTCCGCCCCTCACTGCCTGCCCCTCCCTGCAGGCTGACTGGTGCGTTTGGCCCCCTGCGCAGCTGGTGAACTTCCTCTTCGTGCCCTCCCAGTTCCGGGTCACCTACATCAATGGTGTGACACTCGGCTGGGACACTTACCTCTCCTACCTGAAGTACCAGGTGAGCATGAGCAGGCCAGGCCCCCAAGTCCCGGCCCAGCCCCCTCCTGCGTGGCAGGTTCGTCCTCAGCAGGGTGGAGACGGCCCATGTCTGATGATGTGACCTTGCCCAGGTGCCTGCTGCGGCTGTGGAGCGGGGCTGACCCCAGACGGAGGACAGGTGGACGACGCTCGGTGAGACAGCAGGGAGGGATGAACCAGGCGTGGTGTGATGACAGACCCTCTTGTGTGGGCAGATCCCAGGCCGCTTGGCCCTGAGCACCTGCACACACTGAGCTGCCGGCAGGACTGAGCATCAGAGGAGGTCAACACTGACCCTCAGTGAATATCGACCTGGTTGGAAGGGGACTGGCCCCCGGAGGGCCAGCCCCACCCTCACGCCTGGGCTGTCTCTTCAAAGCCCACTGCCTGACCTCAGTTTCCCTATCTGGAACATAACCACAAAGATGGACAGTTATGCCCCAGCCCTTCTCTCAGGGAGCCTCATGACTGTGACTGAGGGACCCGAGCCCAAGTGCCAATCCTTCTACACTGCGGTGGGTCAGCTCCAAGTCAGGCAGCTGACCTTAGGGCTCCCTCAGGCCCTGGGACAAAGCAGGGTCATTCCCTGTCACCTCGGAGCAGGGCCTGCCCTGGAGGCACCCCCAGCTCTCATCTTTGATCAATGACCAGAAATTCCATTAAATTTTCTCTGAAATTGGAACGCTAGTGGCCCACCCCAGCCAGCAGGGGCGGGGCAGGCGCACACCGGGACACTGCCTTGTCCATTCTGCTTTATTGGGTTGTGTGTGGTGGTTCTTGTGACATCTCCTGGGAGGGTCTGGGGGGCATTTTCCACACTCGTGACGTCAGAACAGATCTGGTAGAGGGGTCCCAGGGTGGCAAACACCCACAGCAGCCCCCTCAGGGGAGAGGAAGTGGAGGAGGGTTGCTGGGCTCTGACCCCCACATGGTCAACACTGAGACCCTCATGGTGGTCTCACCACATCTGAGCCAGGGGGCTGGCGAGGCCATGCCACCCCCACCACCAGTCAGCCTGCCCTGGGGTGTCATCAGGCCCCTTGTCACAACTGACTACTGTTAATGGAGGTGAATTTTTTAAAAAGTGAGGTCTAGAGAGGAGGGTGGGCGGTGGGTTCACGGGGCCAGGACATGGCAGAGCAGGGAGGGGACAGGCAGGGTGGGGTGTATGTACAGAATGGGCCCGCTGGGCAGGGTGGACGGGGCTGTAGGGAGGCGGAATGAGCCTGAGCCCTGGGAACATCTCCAATAAATAAATAAATAGCTAGGATAATAAATAAGGAGGACAAGGGCAAGATCTCATGCCCGCAGCCCGTGGGGCCCGGGTCAGGCCCAGGGGGATGGGGCAGGGCCAGAGAGGGGGGCCAGGCAGCTCTCAGCAGGCACAGTCCTGGTGCGGGGGCGCCTGCTGGTCCGTGAGCTGTGGGCCCTGCTTGGCACCCGTGACGGCGGGGTCAGCCGTGTCCAGCGACTCGGACATCTTCTCACAGATGACATCCACCAGGCGCTCAAAGGTCTGCTTGACATTGATGTTGTCCTTGGCACTTGCCTCAAAGAACTCGAACCCTGTGGCGAGGTTGGAGAAGAAATGGGTGAGTACCCTGGGATAGGGCCGCAGCTCCGCACTCCCAGATAATGGGGTCATGGGAAGAAAAGGGAGGGACCCTGGATAGTCCCAGGGACAACTGGGACAGCAAAGGCACTGATAAGTCCTGCACATAAGCAACATTAGGCTGGGTCCACCCTGAGTTTCTCCTTCTCCTTTCTTCCCCAAACTCATCCCCTTCTCACTCGCCCCAGGGTCCTGGCAAGGTCTCCTTGGGCTTCCACTGCCCAGCCCAGCCCCATGCTGGCCCTGGCAGCCTCTGACACTCAGATTTAGCCACACCCTCCCCTGCTCACACATCCTCCATGGTTACCCAGCGCCCTCAGGAGAACCCTGTGATTGAGGCCCTGCATGATTGGCCAGCCTGATCTCTACTTCCTCCACTTGACCCTCTTGTTCCAGACAGTTTGGTAAAACTATTTGCCAAAACACACAGGATCTTTCCCATCTTTGGGCCTTTGCCCAAGCTGTTTCCTCTGCCTGAAAGGCCTTTCCTTTAAGCATCAGGTCCAATGCCCTCCTCCAGGAAGCCTTACCTACACCTAGGCAGAGCCCAGCTTCACACAAGGGCTTCTCCAGCCTGGGTCCCTCCCTGCTTCCCAGCCTGGCCCCTACAAAGCTGGAGGCCTCTCAGGGGCCCCATATCACTTAGGATAGGATTGAGCAGTGAGAGTATCAGAGAGTGACTTTCTGCACAGTGAACCCTTACACATCCATCAAAACCCATGTCACATGGCCCCTTGATCAAGACCAGTTTGCTTAAAGTGTGAATTGCCTGGATTCTGATCCAGGCCTTATCATTGTGCAGTGCGATGGATCGCTTTTATATGGCCTTTATTACCATCCTCTTGTAACTCCCACCAAAAGACTAGTGGGACTGTGCAAATGAGGTGCTTGTGGCCCACCAAGGGGGTTGGATAACTTGCTAATGTAAATAAAGTGCATGGCACCCTTGTGAAGGTAGGACCGTGCAAATAAGGTGTATGGAACCCTAACAAGGGGATTGGTCAGTTTTGCCATCCTGCTAGGCTTAAAAGAAAGCTAATTCCAGAGCAGAGAGGGGATCTAACTACCACCAAGAAGAGACTGGAGCAAAGTGCATCCTTTGGACCTGGGATCCCTGTGCTGAGAGCCTCCTAGACCCAGGAGACAGAGCTGTACCACGGAAGACGCAAGAAACAGCAGAAGAGAAAATGGGGGTGGCAGAGGCAGCAGAACCAAGAGGCTTGCTGGCAGAGCGGGCTGCCTCTGGGCACTCGGCAGGGGCTAGGTTCACCAACCCATGAGCTAGTGAGAGAGCTGAGTGCCTTTGGGCCAAGGCTTACTGGCAGAGTGGGTGCCTCCCAGTCCTTATCAGCAGAGCTAAAAGCTTTGTAACACTCGCCTAACTAAGCAGGGCAGAGGCCAAGGGGCCACAGAGAGGTGTGCCTGTGGGCACAGCTGAGAAGAGGCTGTCCTGATTGAACAATTGTATCCTGAGGGTTGCTGAACCTGAATTGTAACCTGTTACTTCCCTAATAAACCCTATAATTGTGAGTACTGTCTGTGAGTTCTGTGTGGCCATTGCAACAAATTATCAAACCCAGCAGAGAAGTTGGGAGGGACGGCTGGTGTCAGAATTGGTAAAATGGCTGGACAGCTGAGGCATGTCTGACCTCCACCTCATAGGAATCAGCCTTGGGCTGTTCATGCTGATAATGATTCTCCTTCTCCCTCATGAAGTTAGAGAAGGTCAGAGGATGCCTCCCACCCCATGCCATTTGTACACATGGCTTTGCTGTGAGAACTTGGGCACATCCCTTCCCCTCCCAGGACTTAGTTTCCCATTTCTAGCTTTGCATGTCTCCAGCCCACCAGGCACTCACCAAGGTGGTCGGCCAGCTGCCGGCCACGCTCTGATGACACGACTCGCTCGTCCTCCATGTCACACTTGTTCCCTACCAGCAGCACCTGTGCATTATCCCATGAATATGTCTTGATCTGGGTTGACCTGGAGAAGGCAGGGACAGAGGTGGGTTAGAGTCTTGGAGTATCTGACCCCTGCCCCCACAGATCAGCCCAGGGATGTCCCTTTGCCCCAGGAGAAAGACCCTTGCGGCTCAACTCGTTGGTCCTACTGCCATCCCTACTCATTTATCTTTTCCCTGTCACTCACACCACTATGCCACCAAAAAAAAACACTGGCATTGAGTCAATTCCAACTCATAACAACCCCATGGATTACAGAATAGAACTGCTCCATAATGTTTTCTTAGCCATAGTCTTATGGAAACAGATTGCCAGGCCTTTCTTCCATGGTGCTGCTAGGTGAGTTTGAACCACCAACCTTTAGGTTAGCAGCCAACTGAAAACTGCTTGTACCACCCAGGGACCTTAAACCCATTGCTATCGAGTCGATTCTGACTCATAGCGACCCTAGAGGACAGAGTAGAACTGCCCCATAGAGTTTCCAAGGTTATAATCTTTATGGAAGCAGTTTGCCATAAAGATCTTTCTCCCACAGAGCAAACCCCCCACTGGTGGGTTTGAACGACTGACCTTTTGGTTAGCTGCCAAGTGCTTAACCCTTGCACCACCAGGGCTCCTTCCAGGGACTTTACCTCCCCCTTATTCCTTGAACATGCCAGGTTTGGCCCCACCTCACAGCCTGTGTCCTGGCTGTCCCCTCTGCCAAGAACATTCTCATCCCCCAAGAGTTCCTTCTGGGACTCCCAGTCTCCTGAGCCCCCAAGAGTGAGGCCTCTCATCTGCTCTTTCCTCTCTCTGGGTCTTGCTCCAGTGGCTCCCTGCTCTTGGAAACCTCTCCCAACCTTCCCAGGACCCTTGCCCCATAGAGAGAATCATTTCTCCCGACCTAGCAAATGCAGAAAATTTTTAAAAGTTATCATTATTTCTAGGCAGAAAATTTAAAGGTTTACAACCTCTAACCTACACAAACTATCCTTATAGTTTTGCCCCCCTCCCAGATGTTTTTTACTGTTTGTTTACTCATTTCATTTTTCTATCTGAAATCCTTTTTTCCCACTATTTTGAGCTGGTGTCACACTGTTTTAATGGTTATAGGTTGGTAGCAAGTTTGGAAACCCAATATTATTTATATTTATGCCTGAGGGGCTGCGGCTCCCTCATTTTTGCCTGCACCCCTGGCCCTGCCCCAAACCTGGCTAAGGGGATAGTCTGAGAGGGGGCGGTGATGGAGCTTACCAGTCCTGCACGGCATTAAAGGACTCCTCATTGGTGATGTCATACATGAGAATAAAGCCCATGGCGCCCCGGTAGTAGGCTGTGGTGATGGTCCGGTACCGCTCCTGCCCTGCCGTGTCCTGAGGAGGAAGAGACAAAGGGTCAGAAAGGACCCATACATAAGCCCCTTGGAGGGAAAATAAGGTCTGAGATCATCCAGTCCAAACCCCTCCAGGCACAGAAAGGGGTAGGGGCTTGATCAGGAGCACAGCGGATCAGTGAAAAATTGCAGAAAACTAGTACTGAGCTACAGAGTCCACTCAACAAACTGTCCCACATTCACTCAACAAACGTTCCTCATTCACTCAACTGTGTGCCATGCCCTGTACTGGACACTGGAGACATAATTGTTAACAAAACAAACAGAAATCCCCAACCCTGTGAAGCTGACAGTCCAGTGTGGTAAACAATAAACACTTAAAAGGAAGAAAACGTATCTTATGTCAGAGGGTGACAAAGGCCCAGGCGAAACCTAAAGCAAGATGAGCGTGGGAGTGTTGAGGGGAGAACAGTTTAAAAACCTGAAGAAGATAAGGGAAGAGCCATGTAAGTATCAGGGGGAAGAGGACTCCGGGTAGAGGGCAGAGCCAGTGCAAAGGCCCTGAGGTGGGACCATGCCTTTGCATTTGAGGAAAATGGAGGAGGAGGTAAAGGGAGAGGAGGGTAGGGATGGCAGCAGGGACTAGCCAGGCAGACCCCATGTGTTACAAAGTAGAATTGCTCCAGAGGGTTTTCTTGTCTGTAATCTTTACAGAAGCAGATCACCAGCCCTTTCTTACACAGTGCGGCTGGGTGGGTTTGAACCACCAACTTTTAGTTTAGCAGCCAGTTACAAACTGCTTGCACCACTCAAAAGCACGGTGTGGGTGAATAAGGTCTCAGGAGCCGTCAGCACAGAGGAGGAATGATTCTGACTTAGGATTTAATAGGCTCCCCTGGCATTCAGGAGCCCTCGTTTTACAGTGGTACAGTGGTTAAGAGCTCTGCCGCTAACCAATTTGAATCCACCAGTCACTCCTTGGAAACCCTATGGGGCAGTTCTACTCTGTCCTATAGGTTTGCTTTGAGTCGTGGGTTTGGTTTTTGTTTCTTTCTCCGCCCCCCCCCTCCCCCCGGCCTTCACGGGGGGAGGGTGAGGGAGGAGGCCAGGAGACCCTTTAAGAGTCACCTGCACCCTTCCGAGGAATGATGAGGGAGCTGAGGTGCTCTCTCCTGTACCTCCAACCCCTAGTACACAATAGGCGCCTGATAAATGTTGGATGTGTGAATGAATGAACTCAGCCAGGGGAGAGATGGGCAGAGCTGGGGCTGTTTCAGGGAGTGGACAGGGAGGAAGACGGGAGCCCCGAGTTCCCCCCAGACCCACCCAGATCTGCAGCTTGATCCGCTTGTCGTTGCGGTAGATGGTCTTGACCTTGAAGTCGATGCCCACGGTGCTGACGAAGGCAGGCGTGAAGGAGTCATCAGCATAGCGGAACAGGAAGGACGTCTTGCCCACGCTGCTGTTGCCGATGATGAGGATCTTGAACATGTAATCGAAGTTCTGGTCCGAGGACTCCTTCTGCCCGTAGCGTGAGTCTGTGGCTGATGCCATCTGGGGGTATGGAGCGGAGGCGAGCATGAAGAGGGCTCCCTCCAGCCCCCAAGGCTGAGACCAGGATGGAGAGAGCCCCGGAAAGGGACATCGTGCGGAGACCACCCCAATCCCATCAGGAGCCCCAGCAGTAATGGTGGTGCCCATAGCACCGGCGGCCGGTGACCTTGAAAGGCGGGAGGTTCCGGGTAGGAGCTCAGAGGAATAGATGGGGATAGGGTCACCCTGCAGCCCCCTCCAGGAGGCCTGCACCCAGATCTCGCTGTAACCCTAAACCCTACCGCTGCGACCAGAGGGGTGACTGCGGCTGGCCCCGCCCCCATCAATCATTCATGGTCGTCAGAGCCGAGCTGCACTGGCGCACGTGCACACACATGTACTGCACCGCAGGGACGCTGGTGCGCAGCCCCTTCCCCAGACCTCCCAGGCAGGGAGCGCCAGGGCTGCGGCGGCTGCATCATGTGATGGGGGCGGGGCGTCACATACTCACATGCACACAGCCGAAACACGCACACCTGTATAGGCGCGCACATACGAGCGTGCAAACACACTCGGATGCACACGACGCAGATGCAAGCACCTGTCTGCACACCGACTGGTATATACAAACCTGCAAACCCACCCGAGCATACGGCGCCCTCCACCCAGGCAGGAGTATACACGTCACCCACACGGCCATGCACGCACACGCACAGTGCACGCGTCTCCCTCCACACGCGTGCGGCACGCACGCACTTGAGCCCAGACCCCCACAGGGATACGGGAGCATACCCAGGTACACACGCAAGGGGACACAGCCCCGCCGGCACAGGCGAGGGCGCACACGCGTGTGCACACCACGCGCAGGCGCACGCACAGAGCCTCCCGCGCGGCACCTGCCTCCCCTCCCCCTCCGCCGCAGAGCTGGGGTGGGGGCGGGTGAGGATTGGCAGGTGTGGGGGCCCGGCCCCATCCCCTACCCAGACGCCTGGCAGTAGCATCGGTCCCCCATTCTGGCTCCGCCAACCTCATCCCCATCCCGCCGGCGCATCAGTCAAATGAAGATTACGCAGGTGCGCCGAGCCGAGCAGGAGGGTACCGGGCCGCCCGGGAGCTCACCTTGCTCTGCACCGATGCGGTGGCAACCCTAGCGGCGGCGACTTTTTTGGTTGCGACGACGGGGTCCCCCGTGCGCTGATGTGGGGCTGCGCGGCAGGGGCGGCGGCTCAGGCCCCTGCAGTCCGCGGTGACGTCCTGCAAAGAGTAGGGAGGGGCCTCGCATGCAGATACAGCCGTGACGACGTCCAGGGGCGGGGCCGCGCATGGAGAGATGGCCCACTGTCGCACGCAGAGGCAGGAGGGGCGGGGCTCCCGCGCAGATTGACGAGTGGATGGGGCGGTCCCCAGGGTTTGCACCCAATAGCGCTAGGGGGCGGGTCCCAGAGGGCGGTGCAAGCGGGAAAGATATGCTGAAGACTCCACCTCTTGTCAGTATCTGGAAGGCGGGGCTGCTTAGCGCTTTCTCACTAGCTTACGCAATTGAGCGACTGTCTGAGTGACCAATAAAAGACCGCCGCCTCGCTCCTACTGTCCAATGGTGCCTCCCGAGAGGTTGAAGGGCTGAGCATCCGAGGCCTTAGCGGAGACCAGGGATTCGCCGGCTGCCCCTTCCCGGTCCGCGCCCACCGGGTATGAGGATTCCCGCGACCCCGGCCCCGCGCAGAGCTCTGTGACCTCTCTTTAAACGCCCCCTACCCCCTATTTCAGAAAACAGGAGCTAGGACCCGAGAGATGCTCCGTGCACCCATTTATAAGGTTCAAAATAAATACAAAAGAATAGGGGAAATAGAGGTCAAGGGGGACCCCTATCCAATTCCTGAGTATAAGACCCCAAATGGGAAGAATCTGGTAGCGGCTCCACCTCTCCCGGTTTCTGAGGCTAAAAGGAAGAAGAAATAGGGGTCAAGAGAGCGACCCCTCTCCCCAACTTCTGTAAAAAAAAAAAGGGGGGGGTTGGATGGTCAGGGAACCCCTCCCCTCCCTGCTCACCATTATTGAGAAAAATTTTCAAGAAAAGGTGGAACAGGGGCAGAGAAACTGCCTGTCCCCTAAACCCGCGAAGCCTGCGATGCAAGACCAGGAAAACGGGAGTGGATGCGCGAGGCCGCTAGCCCTTCATTCCTTGGGTTTAAAAGACCCAATAATAAAGACAAGGGGGCTAGGAGATGCTGAACCCCCTCTCTGATTTCCTGGTTCCTGAGTTTAAAACAAAACAAAACAGGAGTGGGAGAGACCCCTCCCCCTTCATCCTGGGGAAACAAGAGGCAAAAAAATGAGGCTTTGGTGGCTAAAATGCTCCCTCAATGAAGCTAAGATGCATCATTTTCCAAAATCTTGACAAAAAAAATGTCAGAATTGGGGGAGGGGAGAGGAGCTTGAGACCCAGTCCCCGTTCCGAGTCTCCAGTCCCCCACTCTTGCCCCCTACCCCACAGGGGGCGAGTGGCCCTAGGAGTGTCCTGATCCCCCATCCCCCATCAGGAGGCGGGTGGAGGGGGGCTCGTCCTGTTTATAGAAAGCTCTGCAGCTGCGGAGGCGCCTGCAGACCAGAATAACTTCGCTTCGCTAGGTCTCGCTCCCCGCCTCCCACCACAACCCTCCCCCCCGCCCCCTGGAAGTGCAGGGACGTCCCTCCCGCCCTGTTGAATTTGGGAGGGTTCTTTCTTTCCCAGGTTAACATTTTACTCCTCCCCCCTCATTTGGACTTTAAGAGTATCACAAACACACTGCGGAGAATTGGGAAAACTCAGAAAAACAAAAAGAAAAGAAAAATAGACCCATCCCTGTCTTCACCCTCCCCTCCTCCCCCTCCTCCCCTAGCTGAAACCAAGGCCAAATCCTCGCCTCTGGGTGGGACTCCAGAAGCCCGTAGCCCAGGGACTGGCCCACGACCTCCGTGGAGGGGAAGATGCCCAGCCAGCCTCGAGGCCACTGGGCTCCTCGAATCCCCAAACGAAGGCGCCAGCTTCGGGCTTTGAACTGGCTGGAGCTCAGAAATATCCTCTGATTTGAATGAAGAAAACCAAAGACACAAGGGAAAGATTAGTCCAAAGGGCTGATGGGTCACAACTACCACAGCCTCCACCAGACTGAGTCCAGTACAACTAGTTTGTGCCAGCCTACCACCACCGACTGCTCTGACAGGGATCGCAATAGACGGTCCCGGACAGAGCTGGAGAAAAATGTAGAACAAAATTCTAACACACACACACACACACACACACACACACA